AGTTATTAGGTTTAGGGGGCAATCACTTTTTCACACAGGGCCATGTAAGTTTGGATTTTTTTCCCCCCCATAATAATAAAAACCTTCATTTAAAAACCGCATTTTGTGTTTACTTGTGTTATCTTTGTCTAATATTTAAATTTGTTTGATAATCTGAAACATTTAAGTGTGACAAACATGCAAAAAAATAAGAAATCAGGAAGGGGGCAAACACTTTTTTACACAACTGTATATACACATATATACACATACATATACAGTACACACACACACACGACTGGATTGTTGACAATAAGACAAATAGAGTAACATGAGCCATTACTCAGTCGGTACCTTTGTACTGGCCCTATACAACACTGGTTATATTAGGCAACGATCACACCGAAATGCAGACAAAAGGTTGATATTAGCATTTTTTTAAAATTCTGATGAACTATAGAATTATTCTCTTCATTCAACAGCATGAGCTCGTTGAATCAACTTTTTTCTTCGTTTAATTAAATTTGATGGACTGGTTCGGCACGCACCCCGGCTCCACAGGCTCGTCAGCAGTTTTGCCCAACTCGCTCTGCCAAGAGGCAGTTCCTGAAGCAGCCACGCCCGCTGCAACGCTTCTCGGTGTGGTCGGGGCCTAACGTGCATAATATCTTCATGTCAATTTATCCCCAGTGCAAAAAATGATTTCCAGTAATTAATGCAAAAGTTGCACAATCATTTATTCACGTTGACATTTTCCAAATTTAAATGCACACCGTATTAAAAAAACAAAAAACAATTACTCGTTTGAAATGACCAACCATCCAACCGACCCTGAAACCCCGAAACACACCGAACAGTGACAACAACTTTGGCGAGGAGTGAAAACTAAAGTTGCACGGCTGGATTCTGCAGCCACAGTGTGTCTGTCTGTACATTTAACGCTGGTGGTTAACTGCAGTCCCAGATGACATGCCTAACTAAACATTGGGTAGTTTGTAACCTAGAATAAGCATAACAATCTTCTTTTGATCAACAAAAGTGTAAATATTCCGTAAGCGGGTATTTGGGTGGTGCGACATTGAAAAGGAACAGGAACTGTGCTCAGCTTAGGCCTGCAGGTTTTTTGTTGGCACTACACTTTGTGCAAGTAGTGGTAGAAAATATCCTTCAATATTGGATGTGTTTATTATGTATTGCACAGGTTTCCCTCTGGTGCTCCCTCTGGAGCTGTATATCTCTCCGCTATGCTCCTCTGAGGATGGGGGGGGATGGGACACGAGGAGAGGGCAGAGTGCTCGAGAGCAGACACAATCCCAAAGGAAGCAGGTCTGCCCAAACGTCTGGCGGGTGAAGGAACATGTGGAACAGACTTTAGAGCCAAAGTGTGAACTCATCCCAACTTGTCTGAAGTCTTGACAGGCTTCCTTCTGGTTTTACTCTCTGAAGTTCCAAAAGTGTCAGACGTGGCTGCTGAGAAAGGTCCTCAGACAAGTAGTGCTTGAAAAACTAAACCTCCATCATCCCCAGCACCGCTGCGATCCTCTCCCTCATCTCCTCTTGTTGCTCTGTCGGAGCATCTTCTTCCTCTTCAGGATCATCTCGTAAAGTTTCTCCAGGCCCTGAAGGCCCTGACCGTCCAGCGCTGAGCAGCCCTGTGTGTGGTGCAGCGTGGACGAGCTCAGCTCGTGGAGAGCCAGAACCTTCTCCACCTGAAACGCAGGAGACAATTGAATACTAAGTGTTGCCACTCCAGAAAAAAAACAAACAATACATCACGAAAACATCAGAAACTCAAACTGACCTACATTAAGCTCTCGTTCACCCAAACCCTTGTTACATTTGAATCTGTACAAGTTATATTTAGTTAAAGAGTATTAAAGTTTATTATACCATTACCATTATGTGTTCAAATGTAATCTTGTAAAATTTAGTTTTTGGTGAGAAACTTGGGGCAGATCATCGGGAATTAATAATACATTTGCAAAACCACCACACGAGTATGTTGAAGTACATGTGATTTATTGCTTTGTTTTTACGGTGGTATCGAGGATCGTGGTGTTTCACTGGTATTTGTATTGACTACTCAACTTCTGGCATTGTGACATCCCATATGACAAAAATACATGTAAACACGGTTCATGCACAGGTGCACAACAGTGTTTCCCCCGATTCTGAATTTGAAAGTATTGAGTCTAAATTGTGGGTTTCTGAAGGCTGATGATGATATTTTGATACAAAGCCGCCAAAATTTCAACCAAAGTTTAACAAACTTTTTTGGTCAACATTACTAACCTTTCCCTATATTAAACAAGCCTCTATTAAATCCAGTGGAGCAACTTCTCAGATCCCAAGAAATATTCGCAGACAAAGAGTTGCAACAAAAATGTGGACAGGGTGCGAGCCGGAGAAGAGGGTGTGATTTGGAAGTAAACTGCATATATTTAGGTCTGGGACTGTTGGCTGGACAAGTCAAATGTAACAGACATTTTTCACTATTTGGTGACATTTTATAGACCAAGCTATTAATGAGAAAACAACCGGCAAATAAGTCAATAATATTCCCAGCTAACAATGCCCTATTATATGATGGATTTCATCTCCACTGGTGCCATAATCATTAAGGGGAAATCATCTTCCGAAAAACAACGTATACAATGCATCTTCTCTTAAAAACTACTTCTACAGATCGTTCTTTTTAACAATCTAGGTAGGGAATGAAATATTCAGAGGACAGAAATAAATATTTGGTCATTGTGGATGCTTTTGAAAGGCTTTAGCACAGCTGTCATCACTTGCCACCACTCCTGGTGAGTATAGTAACAAACATGCAGTCTGTGTGCAGCAACCATCATCGTGTAGGAGCAGATCAATGGCCGTACCATTCTAAGGCCTGATTAGGGTTTGGACAGTAGATTATTGGTTTTGTTCAGTCAGCACAATCTGGGTTCCCTCAGCAGTTAGAAACTATTGGAGAAGAAAGCGACGTTCTGTTAAGTCATTTGCTACCATGTGATACATGGGGATAAGTTCAAAGCACTTATCGAGCATCCCATTCAAAATACTCTGGTACATAGAATACCATTTGAACGTAAAATAAGATCCTGAACATTACTTTGAGATGGTAATGTTATCCATTTTAGGGAGCTCTGATAGACAGCCTGGTTCACCAGTCTCTGCTAAAGGAAAATAGTCAAATGTTGAAATAAACAAGTTATTACTTTTTATCTCATTTTCCGTGTTTACAATGACAGTTGGTCAACTGTGTTTCAGGACGCATTAGAAACCCTGGCTGCATATAAGCCAAGCGGTCATGACAGACCTTTAGGGACATGGGTTACCCAGGATATCAAACCCAGTAATGTTACAAGTTATAGATCATTTATCTCTTCCTAACCAATGCTCTGATTTCAGCAACAGACAAAAAAAACACTCATCGCTTCTCTTGAAATTCTACCACTTGTGTATCGGGCTGGGTATCAGTACTAGTGCCAATATGATACGTAAGTTTCAGTTAACATACGAAAGACATTCTTTGTGTACAAAATATCAACAAATAGTGAATCATCTTTTACCACAGGGCTCAAAAGTAACATTTGTCCAACTGCCCGGGGCAAGCTAAATGCCACATCAGGCTAAAATCTAACAACTCACTTGCCCATAAAGAAAAACAAAAGTATTTCACACATCGGGTTTCTCCGTAGCCGACATATGGAAACAGGAGTTCAGTTGGATGATGGTTGAGGATGTGGGTGAAATTCCAGATTTATTTACTGAAGGATTAAAGGTGACAACTAACTTTGGTATTTTTATAAACTACTACATACTACCTGCTAATAAATAAAACTATTTGTATAGAGACAAATTCAAATGGACCTTGGGCAAGTGGATTTCTGACCCACTTGCCAAAAAACATGAAGTTTGAACCAGAACATATAGTGGCATCTTGAAATGTCTGGTTTTGTCCACCGTACAGTTAACAAACCATAAACTATTACTAACAATATATAATAAGCAGGAAACCTTTGGATTGAAGAAGCTAGAACCAGAGAACATTTTACATTTTCACTTGATATGAAACTTATAGAGTTAGTCAATTAACTCAATATTTTTTTCGTTAACCATTGAATTAATTAATTGAAAAATCAGCTCTACACAACAATACCACACCATTAATGTAGCAATAACTACCTCTGAAGCAGAGACAGCTCCATCCAGGTCCTGTTTGTTTGCCAGAACCAGCACGGGCACCCCCTGGTTCTCAGCTGACCGGGTGATCCGGTGAAGCTCCGCCTTGGCCTCCTCCATGCGCTCTGCCTCTGCTGCGTCCACCACGAACACCAGCCCGTCCGTCCGCCTGGTGTACGACCTCCAGAGGGGCCTCAGTTTCTCTTGACCGCCGACGTCCCACACCTGGAAAGTGGTGGTGTTGGTTTTGGAGTTCCCCAAGGGTACTTTAATTCGCTCCATGTTGAAGCCTTTGGTCGGGATCGTCTCGACAAACTCCCGCAGCTTGAGTCTGTAGAGGAGGGAGGTTTTCCCTGCCGAGTCCAAACCGATCACCACAACGTGTAAAGACTGGAAGCCGGGGAGGAACGGGGTGCTGGGGGCAATTTCTGTTAACTGGTTCCCCATGTTAGGCTCCTGACAAGACTGAATTATTTCCTTTGGCAGGTCTTCCTTTAAACTCACTATTTGGCTGTTTTCCTGTGTCCTTGTCTCACTTGCTCCCTGACACTTTGAAGGGGGGCTCTGTACAAGGAGGAGTCAGTTTGATTCACACTCTGGCCTCACTTCAAAGGCTGATGCAGGACAATGAGGACAGACTGTCGACTGCAGTCCCTGAGGACATGAGAGGGAAAACAATGAGAGGGGGAGGAAGAAACTAAATTAATAGATGTATGTAGATTTGTAAACCCTTCAGGGCATGAATTCACCAGATTTGACTCAAAAACCAAAACCCGTATAGACAGAATTTATGTATCATCACACTTCAAAGCAATAAACTATAGAACCTTATTAAATGACTTCTCGGATCACCTATTAGTAAAAACAACAGTGTCTTCTGGGACCTCAGCTAGTAGAGGCTTCTGGAAACTAAATACTCAATGCCTAAAAAATACAGATTTATTAAAGGAGCTAAAACAGGAAATACAAAAAATAACACAATTAAAAGTTCTAACCAAATCTAATATTAAATTATGGGAAATATTAAAATATAGAGTGAAAGATTTCTTCAAATTCAAATGCAGAGAATTTAAAAAAAAGAAAAAAAGAAAAAAGAAAACACGAGTCACAACTAACTGTAATGAGGACGAAACACAGAATCTACTCATGGACTGTTACAGAGCTCGGCCTGGTTTTCCATGCGAATTATAAATCGGTTATGTTTGCTCTGTTCGATGGGAAGATGCCTGTGAAACAACAAGAACTTGTCCAACTCATTGTCAGCATCACATGATTTAAACTGTGGAAACCCAGATGTGTGGAGGTGATAGAGCAGCCTGTTATAGACAGCCACATGTAATAAAACACATACTCTGACCTCAGGATAAGAAACCAGACCCTCCCAGGCACACGGCACTTTTTTATATCTGTACCGGTTTTGTTTGGTAAATATTATGCATGTAAATTTATAAATGTATAAACTGTAAACTTGTTATAAACTTAATTACAAAAAGAAAAGATGACTCAGCTATTTTAACAAGGGCACTGGGCTGTCAATAAATAATTAGATCAGCTGAGACTTAGTGGAGCTCCAATCCAATATGTGTAAAATATGATATCTGTGCAAAATATATGCTTTTCCTGCTCGTGCTCTCCACCTGTGTGCACAAGTCTCAGAACGCGCAACTAGGGGGGCAAAATCGTTTTTGCCAAAAAGAGGCGGGTCTATGAAGCAGTTTAGCCAATTGCTGATTAAAGATATAAATGAGTGACATACAATTTAGCCAATCAGCGCCCTCAAATAGATTCAGTGTGGGGCCAAAAAGATTTTTCTCCCCTAGCTGCGCGTTCTCGTCAGGAGAAGTCTTTACAGGCGAGCGCGAGCACTACTCCAAGTCTCGTTTGAGAGGAGAACTTTGGCGGAGATTCTGCAGCCAAAGAGCTGATCCCAGATCAGCCTGACCTCACAATCAGACAGCAGACTAGCGGGAAAGGGAAGCAGTACATGTGAAGCTTCTCCACTAGCTGAACACCAGACAGGTTTGGCTAGCTGGATGACGTCATGCTAATAAGTTATTTAGCTTTTTAAAACAACGGGGACAGATCCAGCACGGACAGTTACGGGAGTGAGGAAGTAAGGAAACATGAGAACAGGACACATGGAGAACTCAGTCAAGCTACATATTAGGCAAAGTGAACATCTTTTCTTCTACATATTTGTCCTCAGTCTCATCTGCTTAACTTGGTCATGGAGGCATCAACATTTAATTGAGATGGTAAATTAACAGTGAAAACTCATCATAGCTTAATATAACATCAGTATTCATAATTACACTTAATGTTTACTTCTCCTGATCTTTACCTCCTATAACAAGGTCCATAGGGGCATCTCAATAAATACACATGTTATGTTATATTATATTATATAAGGTTATTTACTGCTTTTTTTCGTGTTGGAATAAATGCTAAATATTTAACTGCAAAGTAGTAATGCGTGTTTGATACTTTAATTTTTTTGCATTAAATCATACTGGCATGTTTGCTGAAATTGATAGGATGGCCCTACCTAGAAAATTTTCCACCAGCCGCCACTGCTCCAATCCACTGTCACACCATGAGAAGGCCGAAATCAAACATCTTAGCGACATTTCTTTAACTTAGTTAAAGTATGCACATAGGGTGAATTACGGCTGCAAGTTAGCCTGGTTAATACATGCAGTGTGACGGTCGTTTCTATCAAATGATATACTTCATGTTGTATGAAAACAGCAGGTTAAACATTACATTTAACCAGCAGCAGCGGAGGAATCCTACAATGCCTGTTCTGTCATCTAACGCTAAAGCTCCGGCTCAAAAACGAGCAAAAAAGGAAAACAGATTGGGGGGGGAACGTGTTAAAAAAATGTTTGATAAATTTTAGAACAAAAACAACTAGTATCAATTTAGCTACAAAGTTAAAATCACTGATAAACTATAACGTTGGTCTCTCTCTCTAGTTTACAGAGTGCTCCGCGGCGGAAGGACTCATCTAATCACAGCAGCACTACGAAACAAGGCAACACAAGTAGCTTTTTGTGATTCCGGTGTAACGTTGTGAGAGAGCTCACCTGTCGGCACTTCTGATCACTTCAAAGTAGTCAACATTGTTGCACTACAGCCAATCTGCGACCGGAATCCAAGTTTTAACGACCAAAGGAATCTCAAGTGTTCGGTCAAAGCTGCTCCATGTGACCGTGTGGCTGTCGCGTTGGTCCGATGACGGCGACTGCAGAGAAGCAGCGCCGTAGAAGAGCACGAGCAACTCCTCCCCCCCGCTGCTGACGCACCGGCAGGAGGAGGGCCAGAGACATGTGGGAACACAAACGGTCCGTAATAAAGAGGCTGCGTTAGGCCTACTTTCCCCGTGGGTTCCTAAGTTTCTTCACTGCGTTGCATCCATTACAATAAAACAATATGTAGTATAATATTTGGTTTGTTTGATTCAGAATTGTTTAGCCTAATCATTTAAATATGCTTCATTTGGAAGTGCAATCTAAATAGCGGTTGTTGAATTGGGTTGCTGTTTGTAGAACAGTGTAAAGTAAGACCACTGTATCTCTGAACTATCTCACCAAAGCACACACATTTATTCTGTTATCTTCTTTTGATACAACTAATGAAATATGTATTCACTTCCTCCCTGGGGCCTCTCACTTTGAAAACCTCTGTTTTAGAATATATAAAGTAACCCCAGTGACACAGAATGCACTGAGTGACAGAAGCTAGTGGAGCAGAGGCTTCCCGGACGTGATGTCTTGTCAAGACTTCCGCTCTCTAGGAATTGTGTACAGTCCTCAAGGAGAAACTGCATCATCATTAAATATTGTTCTGTCACCTCACAAGGTATGTTCAAATTAAAAGGAGCTATAATGGCTTACTGTAAAACAGGTAATCCTGGTTCAGTATGAGCCATCGATGACGTAATGGGGCAGCTGTATTGATTTGCATGACAATGATATAGTTCTTTCTTGCTACCCAATACTCGTGTAACGATGTGGGTGTGTGCAAATGTGTGAGTGAGTAAAACAAGACTGCCTGCTTATTGAGCATGGTAACATCTGTAATGAGTAGAAGTGTTTTATAGGCCATGAAAAACAATAATGACACAATTAGATTTGATCTTATTTTGGTGATGTTTAATCCTGCTGCTAAATTAAGACTCGGCTAGAATGGTCCTGCTGTTAGATGATTCGTAGATTCATTGTAAAACTGGTTATACCAACAAGGAAGCTGTGTGTGTGTGTGTGTGTGTGTGTGTGTGTGTGTGTGTGTGTGTGTGAGTGTGTGAGTGTGTGTGTGAGAGAGAGACACAAGCTGCAAAACTGAATCAAATCTAAATGCTCTTATCTGGTCAGGTGTGACCAGCAGGAGGAAAGATATGACACACACACACACACACACACACACACACACACACACACACACACAGAGGAGCTGGAATGAAAACTCATGGGGGTTTTGCAGAAAATTGTCTTTTCACTTCAGCCAGCATCACAATACTAATTCTGTTCTGTCTCTCACCCATAATGTTTATCCCATGGCTGTTCTTTGTTTTTTTTTTTACAGTTTTGACATTGTATGTTTCTGTATACATTGAAAGTCAACTTCTCTGAATCAAAAATATGTTTTATAAATACATCTCATATCAGCTTCATATCATGCTTGCAGAAACGCACAATGACACATGGTCTAAACCAGTGGTTCCCAAACTGGGGGCGCAGCATCACCAACCCACACACACACACACACACACACACACACACACCGGTAAAACAATATCAAATAAAATGATAACAAATACAATTGCAAACAAGTTGTAAAGATAGGGCACTATTTCATATGGTTGCACCTATAAAAATAAAAGAAATCAAGCGGAACCGACAGGACATGCATTGTGTCCCAACCATGTTATTTTCTTCTTTGAGAGAAGCTGCTGTTCAATGTGGGGAAATATACGTTGTTAGCACTTAAAAGAAATGAAGTTCATTTTATTTACAAATGAATAGGTCAGAAAGCAATTTACATGTAGGAATAGGAATGTGATCGATGCAGAGAGAGCACTGAGTAACTTCTCGTCTTTGATCATTATTCATATGAAAGATTCTTTATTTTCATGCACACTACTTCAGTTTGAAGAACCTGTTAAATGGGGAAATGTACTACTTGAAAGCAATCTAAAGTCCAATCTTTTTGGAAATTGATTTTATTATTGCTATTTGTTTTTCAGTAAAACAAACTGAACGATAAACTGTGAAGTGGAAAACTGAAGTGGTATGTACTTCTTTTAGAAAGAAAAACAAATATGTTATAGAGTTTAGTTTATATATTATAATGCAATTAATTAAAAACAAAGAAGGCACAACCCATTTGGGGATGGTGGGGTCGGGTGCGGTGGGGGGGCGTACAATGTTCCTATCATCAAAGGGGAGCTCGACAGAAAGAGTTTGGGAACCACTGGTCTGAACAGCTAATCTAAAAGAAAAGGTCATGATTTTGTTTTAAAATAACCTAACAACATAACATTAAAATATAACGGGAATGTCATACAAAACATAACAAGCTTATTTACGCAACAATTTTGGTTTCACACAGACACAGTTGTCTCCTGGGTGAAAGTCCTGTGTTTACCGCTCCTCCTACACGTGGAGTTAGTGGACTTTCTCGCTTGATATACTCTTTATCATACCACGTAACGTTCAATAAAGGTCTATATGTATATGACATCACTTGCGCTGTTCGTTGCTCTGACTGAATGCAAAATCGTTGATAATCTGTGGTTTACAGGAACGTACACACCAATGTTTTTTCCTGGAATAACTGGCATAGAAATTGAAATAACAAAAAATGTCGAAAGGTGGAAACAAATGCTCAGTCAGATAATGTACTTATTCTTTTCTCAGATATATTTTTGAATCTGAATCATGATTTAGCTAATATATTTTTATTTCGGTAAAGGTTCTTTACAGTTGCTTTAAAAATGAAATGCTCATTTACACATTTACAATAGAAATAAAGTTTTGTAGATAAAACATGATTGGATTTCTCCAAGTAAGAGGAAAACGTATTGAGTCAGTGTTTTTACTGAAACATGGCTTTTACTTTGGCACCATCAAACAAATATAAATGTGCTCTAGTGCCCGAGGACTTTATTACGCTGACCAGTGGTGGACAAGTTTCTCAGAGTTTTTGGATTGAAATCTTTAGTTAAAAATGTTGCTGCATATTACTTGGCTGCTGGACCGGTGACTTTGAAAATATGAAGCTGTATCTGTAAACAAAATATTCAGAGGCTCATAGTCCCAAATCACACAAAAATGCACCGCTGCAGAATCATCAACCAGCAGAAGAGTCTGTGAAGTTAAGCATTTAAATGCAGGTTACGGTTAGAATATTGAAACCTGCTTAGACACTCTGTTGGTCATCCAGACTGAAGCATTGTCTTTCACTAATGTCTTAGGTTTGGAAAGTAGTTACTTCTTAAACTGCCCTCACTTAACAGATACACCAAATATCCCTGCTTAATAAGGGAGCAACTTCCTCTTCTTTCTTGTCCTTGTCCAGAAGTTGAGAATTTGCTTAACTAATACCAGAGCAGTTAGCCACACAGGCCATCATTCCTCATCATTCCTCATCATTCCTCATCTCACAGGTTAGCAGCGCACTCTTTTGTCCGCAGGAGGAATGGCAGCCCTGATGGATGATCAAACCTGACCAACATTACTGTAAAGTGGACATTTATTATTTATACATATCATCACTTTATGTTGTGTTTTGAGGAGGGAAGAGTCTGTAAAGTCATATTGTGTTTTAGATTGGATTTTTTGCTTTTTGATCATTTCCCTGAGCCCTATTTTTAGGCCTCTGCTCGAAAATTGCATACCCATACTAAAGAGAGTGCAGATCTCTAACTACAAGGTCTATTTTAATAATTGTGATGGTATAATACAGGTAACACTTGTGAGACACTTGCTCAGATGTGTAAATATTGTGTATATGTTACTGGTTAATAGTGAATGAAGATGGCACACAGCTCAAATTGAAGTTTCAGGTTCACCTGAAAAAAAAGCACTTGTATTGAAATTATTTATTTGAAATAATGCAGATCCAAGCCTAAAAATACGCCACAATCATAGCACAACATGTTTTTAGTCTCCACAAACAAATTTTACTTCGATTGAGTGAAGCAAGCCAGCGTAATAGAGGTTTGAGTACGGAGGGTCAAGCCAAATTCTCATTTTTGGAACCAGCTGTTGCGCTGCTCTATTCTAATTTTATATACTATATAACTATATATTTCACTTGTTGTACCACTAATAGTGTTCAATACATCCTAATACAGCAGTTTGGCATCACTTAGAGCTATTTTGAGCTCTCTGGGGGTGCTCATATCTCTCCTCCATGGAATTTTCTCGTCTCTGTCTGTGTCGATGGAGCCCTTTCTAAGCCTATGATTGGCAGATTTCATCATGTGACACCTCGTTGGACCCAGATTAATCTCAGGAAAGCAGTAGTCGGTTCTTGAGTAGATTGACAGACTTTTTAGCCACTAAAAATCCCAAACCGTGTCGCGCAACCCCCATGCGTAAAATGATTCGCCGAACAGTAAAATGCCAACCATTTTGTCATAGTGTTAGCCAAAAACGCCATTTTCTCACAGACACACACAGAGACACCGAGAGAACACGTCTGAAATGGATTACCGTCAATTTCCAGCGTTTTTCTTCACGAAAATCACCTCAAGGTACGATGCGTTTACATTTTTTTGCTGTGGAGTGGTTTGTTGTTCGTTGTGTTTCTGGATGTAACTTTTGAATGGTTTCATGGAGAGGAATGTGGAAGATATGAGTGGATTCGCGGTCGAATCGGTCTTTGTGATGTATGCATCGGCCATGATAGCGGCCAGCGTTGTGATGGGAGATGCAAACGGAGTGCATAGGTCGCCGATTCGTGGCGAAAAATACGTGATATTGTGGTAAATCTTCTAGTTTATTGAATTAGTTTGTGTATAACTGTGTATAACTGTTTTGAGTGAGTAAAATGGCTCCCATGGTTGTTTCGCCCAGAATCTCTTTGTTACATAGGTATATGATATGTCATAAAATATCATTTTATTCGTTTCGCAAAAGTGAATTGTACACATGTGTGTACTCTGTCGCCACCCCCCCCAGCCCCCTTTAAAGGGGGCTCTCGGCAGAAAGATAACATATTTTGATATATTGTTTAATATTTAGGTATT